TGATTTAGTGGACCCCCCAAAAAATTGCAAACAAGCAATTCTGAGGCCTAAGTGTAGCTGTGCTTCAGATTGGCTCCTCTGCTTCCAGTTCAGACGTACTATATACATTTGAGCAGACTGGTTGCAGTGGAGCTTGGAAGGTTGGATTTTTCCAAAATCTCAATAGAATAGAATTGAATATCAAGCAAGAATTACAGACTTTAGGCTTACTCTAGCAAAGATCCAATAAAATACCCACTGGAAGCTGCTTAGCAACGTGCTTGGCCACTTTCCAGGGAAAGGGGCTTAGAACGTGCTTTTGCTGTTGAGTGTCTAATGGATGGAAAGGATTTAAAAGCAGCAGTTCCTAAAGTGCATTGCTGTGTGCGACTATCACCTAACTCGAGCGCTTTGTCTTGAATGCATAAAGACACCTGTAACGTGTGAGCTAACTTAACTGCAGAAAACAAAGGGTCATATCTTCCTCCTGGGAGGAAGAAAGGTTAAGCTTTTATTTTGTGGGCAGCTTGTATCAGGCAATTTGGACTCTTGTCTTAGTCGGTACTGGATCATAGGCGCCGTGCAAGTAATTTAACCTCTGTGCCTTTTGTTGGCACTCTAAACTGGACAGCATTTGTCCTGCCTTCTGTCTTTGATCTTGCTGTAGGGGATGAGAGCAGTATCTGTATTTCCTGCAGAAGCATTTCTTCACTCTTACGCTCGTTTAACTCCTCACACTCTTGTTTGAAGAAATATTTTAATCGCACTTCAACCGCATTGAATTATTTTTGATGTCGTGGGCTTCCCAACAGTCCATGACTTGTCTCCCTGGGGTGAAAAGGGCACCTGGCACTGTATCACGCCGCACTCTGTTCTGGTTGTGACGCTGTCTTCCTTTTGGAGATACCATGAAACGATGGTATGAAAGGGAAAGGAGGGTGCAGTAACAGCAAACCACTTTCTTGAGGGAATCGTAAATGAGAGACGGCCTGAATCTACAGAAAACACTGAGGCAGAAGCTACAATAATTTCTTCCAAAAGTTTTCTGATCTCTGGTGACTTTGGAAGGAGATAAACCAGAAGCCTTACAATACCTGAAACTGTATATGCGCCATAGCTACAAGTGAAGGGAACTGGGTTGAAGAATGGCACCGGCATTTACGTTTTGGAGATAAATAACATCCTGATGTTAGAAATTAATTCTGGAGACCAGAGGGTATCCTTCTTGATCACAGTAAGTGTCGTTGTACCTACGAGTTGAATTATCCTAGACGAATGGGGGTTTTTTTAAACCCATGAAGTGCTTTACATTCCAAGTATAAGTATAGCCAGTTCCTTAGCATAAACCCACTCTTACTTTGTTAATGTTTTCCTAATTCTGCGCAGAATAAATCTAAGCAACATGGTTAACACAGTTGCTTCCAGTCCAACATATATAATGGATATGTATGTGTGTGTATGTATATATATATTTTTAGATGAAAATATTTTAAAATATTTTTAAATATAAATCTGAAACACACAACCCAATTACTTGATTAATTTGATGGTGTTTAATTAAGGTGATGTCTTGTGAAAGTCAGAGCATAAATGTGAATATTTTTTGATAAGATGCTCAAATATCGGCATGAAAAAAGATCCTAAAAAAGATTCATACTGATGGTACGCTGGCATATAGTACTTCTGCTGATAAGATGTTCCAAATGTATTTATTATGTAGGCATCTGACTAGCGCAGAAACGAGAATATTATGTACACATTTCCTGCCCCTAGGTAGTCTTCTACACTGTATTTACCTTCTTTGCTTGTAAGCTACTTGATAATACTTGGTGCACTAAATTTCATTACTTGGTATTTTTCATCCTGTGTTGTGTGTTACCTAGTATATACATAGGAATAGAAGGATTTGGGGACGTTGCCAGCTGGGTGGGATGTCATAGCAGAATCTACTGCTGAAGTAAGAGTTTTAATGCATCCGCCTGTGCTGGCCTTTGAGGCTTACAACAGTTTGTTTTCATAAGCTGCTTTAGTTGTAGGTTTGCCTCTTTTTTTCCCCCCAAGGAAAGGAGGCCTTCATGACATTCTGCATGAGAGCCCCCCTCTTCCCTTCTTCACTCCCTTTCAAATTGAGCTCCAGCCAAATTTGACAAGAGTTAGAGATCTTAAAGCTGCAGAGTACTTGCAAGTTATGTGGAGAAACATGGAGACTGAATATATAGGAAGGAGACCCACACTAGTGTTCCTGCAGCTGTTTCTAAGGCTTATTTACAGAAGCATTAACGCTTTTGCTAAAAGTCTTTGTAATGAACTACACCAAAATACTATTTGAGCTATGCTCAGTGCCTTCGTTGTCAACATTAAAATGGGATTTGGATTTGGACAATGCAGTACAATGTTAACAATACAAATCCTTCAGCTTTGTTTACATGCGTGAAAACAAGAAAGTGAGAATATACTATTTTAAATAAGGTGGATAGTTAAATCAGCATTAAGTGTGAATAGAGATTCAGTGTTTTTCACTCCTTACCTAATACTGTGGTGGTAGTTTTGAAAAATGGTTCTGATTTTTAGCGGGGGGAGTGCTTCTTGAAAAGGTAAGCATGATCTCCATTCACTATTATGTGGAAGAAGTGTACAGTGGTCTGTTCCAATAATCTTCCTGGCGCGCTGAAATTTCTTGGCATTTTAGTTTGAAGCCTGGAACTCTGTCCTGCCTCACTGCTTTGTGCCTCAGCAAAAAAGTGATCTCTTATAAAATCACATTTTCGGAAGAGTACACGAGGCAATGCCAGTGGCTAGCTTTTTGGCATATCCAGTGAAATGTTAACTGTTGTGAAAAAGGAATACTATTTTATATTGCAAGATTAGAGACGAAACTTTCAAGTACTGTCCTCAGACATAGTTGTTTTTTTTTTTTTTCCCTAATAGACTTGCTGGTACCTAATATTACTCCGGCAGGGAGAAAAAAAAGAAATTAACCAGTAGCTTCATGTAGTCTGCATTTCTGTGAACCGTCAGGCTATACTGATAAGTGTGTTTCTTTTCTTTTCTTGATTATTCAGGATATATGACTGGAACCCTGAACAACCAAATATATTCCAGGTAGAGCAGCTGGAACGTCTAAAGAAGGAATTACCAGAGTTGAAAAGCTGTGTGTGTCCCTCAGTTAGCCACTTTAAATCCATAGCTCTGTGTAAATGTCGTCATAGTCGCCGGGAAGCGAAAGGCGTAGATAACTTGAACAGCATTCACGTGCACAAAGACTGATGCGAGGCAGAAAGCTGTTTAGTATCTATTTAATGTTCGCCGTTGGAGCAGTGCTGTCTATGCCTTCGGGATGGTTTGTTTGTTTTTTAGTCCCCAACTAGCAATAACCACGTTCCTCCTTCCTGGCAGTGCTTGCTGAAAATTCAAATCCTGCTAAAATGTTCAGCCAGTTATAGTTATTGTTCCAGTTGACAGATACAGTTTTAACTTTTCCATAATCAAGTCTCAAATTTTAAAACAGTATTGGCACCAAGTGCTTTAAAAAAAATGTTATAAAGTAAGCAATCTGAGGCGCAAAGCCTCAAAAACTAAACTGTAAATACGAAATTGTAGAGAAGTTACAATGATCTAATATTGAAACTGCTGAAAAATTGTTATGGCTTTGATTTGCCTTCAATACTAACCTGACAACAGCAGATTAAGAGCGTGATTGTAATATACATGTAATTAGATCTGGCCTGGATAAACTGGTACCTCGTATGCATGCATTTGCACTGATGGATCCAACTGTACAAAGCTTTGTGCCATTTTATAAATATTTATATATATTTTTAAGTAAACTGCAATGCACATTAGTTCTTTTTTCCCCCCTGTGTTGGACATTTAGGCTGCTGCCCTTGTTTTCCGATTTGCCAATTGATTGAGTGGTACAGTGTCTGTTCATAGCGATGAAGAGTGAACCACAAGTACAGTTTTTTCACTAATCTCACACAGGCCGGCTAAACTTCAGAAACGTTGCTAATAACTTTTGACGCTAACAAAATTACAAAAACATCTTTGGTGGTTAAGAAGCTCTTTTGCACAGTAACCGTAACGGACAAAAGAGCTACCATGCACAAACTCTACAAAATGCATGCTTTAATTATTAAGCACGAAGTTGAGGTGTTTGCTGAGGTCCTTGCATCTCTACGGTGCTAGTTAAGTGTGAGGGTGCAGGGACTGACTAAACTACTGCATCTTCTCTGCCTAAAACCACAAGCCTGTTATTCACAAACATTCAGAAAAAGGTAATGCTACCTATGGTTGGACTTACTTAAATAATATGAGCCACTAGCTTTTGTATTTTGTAAAAGCTGATTTTCAGAGCGAGAATCACAAATGTACTGAGTTCAGATAACCGGTGTTTTGTTGGCTGATATCTATCCTCTGTAATTTATTACAAAGTCATAGTTTAGAGCTCTTAGTAGATACATACGCATGTCCTTTCTCCTCCTGAAGTTGCAGGTCACGCCAACACAACAGCTGTAACTTTCTACTGAAGTGTTAATGTATAATAAGAATGGAAAATATTTATTTTTTTCTCTTGTTGTAAATGGACAATGAAGACTATAGCGTATATTATATTCTTGATAGACAGTCATTGCTACGTAGAACTGATTGTGTAAAGACCATTGCAAAGACTTGCCCGGGCCCGCACCGCTGAGCAGTTGGAAACAAACAGCTTGTTTCAACTTGCCTTGCGCATTTTAGTATTTCAACTTGGTTTGTCCTGCACAAACAGCAGAGGAGTCGTTAGGTATCTGGAAGCTGTCTTTTATTTAAAAAAAAAAAAACAAACCATAAACATAAAATGAATTTAAAAACTAAGTTTGGAAGTACGTGAGTTGTGTTTCGGGGGTCTGGGCAGGGAGGGGGCACCGAACCCGATTCAAGAATGATCGATCGATCGCCTGTGGTCGTCGCCTGATCGGCAAGTCCGGGTTCCTCGCTTGTTGGATGTGAGTGATGGATATCGTTACTTTTTCCTCGTCGGTATGGCCCTGCGGGGCTGCCTTGAAGGGCCTTGGAGGGCTTTGCCAACTGATGTACAAACTCTGCCAGAGCTGTACGTGCCGGTGCGCGTTCCCAGAGGCGTTGGACGTGACATGGCTGTTGCGCGGAGGTGTTTTGAAAGCGGTGCTGTGTCTGACGCACCCTCTCAGACTAACCCCTTGTGATGCTCGAGAAAGGCTGAAGCCCCCTCAAAATTTTTTCTAACGGTGTGCTAGCTCTGAACGCAGCTGGGCTTTAA